ACACTACTTTTTTTTTAATTTCGCTATTCACTTACGATTATATTTATTATGACTTGTTTCTGTCAAAGCAGCTGATTAAAACTTCGAGTTTCGAGTTTTTAGTTGGCAGTGCCGCTGATAGTTACGATCGGATTACAGCGTACCAATTTTCGAATTTTCGGAACTGAGCTATGAATTCGTAACTACGAACATTCGGATTACAGCATAGGGGTGTCTATCTATCAGTAGCTTATGTAGTTGTGCACTATTTGTATTTGTTTTGAATCGCATAGCAAACTTTCTTTTAATTTTCCCCAAGATGTTATTCCCCTCTCAGTAGAAATAAACAACTTTGCAAGTCCCTTCAAAGACTTTTTAGCGAAAACGAATTTTTGAAATTCATCCCAAAACATTAATACCGAAGTTTCTTCCAATTCGTTAACCCAAATTTCAACAGGTAATTTATCTGTGCCGTCCAGAGGCTAAACCGAATCTTCGATGTCGCGACAATTAATAGCAAACCTATGCATCACACTATTTCTTGACGCTACTGTATTGTTTTGCTCGTTACTTTCATTTACACCGTTTTCTTCTCTATTTGCTCGTCTTGTTGAGTTTTCGTGCTCGTGCACTCGTCGTCGATTTTCTTCGTTGGTTAAATTTGAAAAGCTGCTTACTGCGCTTGTGCCGTCGTCGTTCGCAAAAGACGGGAAAAAATCGTTGTTTTCTCCTCTTTGCTTTACCACTTTTGTTGCGTCTTCGTATCTGTTCATCACCTCTACTAAGGGCTGCCAGACGTCCCGGTTTCCCCGGACATGTCACAGTTTTAGACTATTTGTCCCGGTGTCCCGGTCCAACCTTAAAATGTCCCGGGTTTCATTTAAATGTCCCGGTTTTCGATTTGATGGCACAAATTTGAATAAAAGTTCAAAAATAACTACAATTTTATGAATTCACTGAGGGAAATAACGCATAGTTAACATGAATATTTTTATTCGATTATCGTTCTAAAATGTTCGTATTTAAAAACAACACTTTAATACCACGCACGCGTGGTGTTGATTCAAACTCAGCATTTGAATGCACATTTACATGTCTGGCTGTAGATGAGTGCGCAAAGATACTTGCCACAATTTGTTATTTTTCAGAGGGAATGGAATTTAAATATATATTTTTTAACTTAATTATGAAAAAGCTTCCGTTTGAATTTAATATTTCTAGACTGAATAATAAAATGTGTGTGTGAATGTATTACGAGTTGGGTTGGTGCTCTTTCATATGCGTATTTTTTTAAATTTAGCACGTTTTTTTAATTCTATACTTCTTTCTCTCAGTGCACCGGTTTCATTTGTGAAATAGTTACATCTTCAGATAGTTGAACTTTGCACAAGCATATAGTTGATGATTAATATACATATGTACCTAAATAAGTTAAAAATGACGTGCACAGAGTTTTACAATTATATTAAGGAAAAGTCAGAAGTTTTGAAACAAGTCCACAGCAACGAAAATTTGACTGATATTTTAATGTTATCTTGTACTCAAATTTTTTTTCTTTCATGAAACCTAGAGTGCTTATAAGTACAGTGCCGTACATCAAATCACAATTTCTAATCAGACCTGTTAGAAAAATTTTGAAAATATACCTTTTGTACCAATTAATAAAGTGCAAGTCTGAAGTTGCCAGCAAATTTTGATGATTGTTAGCCTTTTTTTTGCTGACAGTGTCTTCCATATAAAAAGAATTGTTGAACATAGTTTGAATGGAAGAAACTCTCAGTAAAAATAATACCAAAAATCAACTAAAATTTAATAGGCTGCAAAACTTCATTTTTAAAATTTTTACAAAAAGTCTAATTAAAAAGTTGCAAATTTGTATGCAAATTTATTGAATATCTTGAGTTTTGCACAAAGTTTAGAAATTTTATTTTTATGTTTTTTGATGTATTTAGTACAATTTTTTTATAAAGACTAAAAAGAATTGTGAAAAATTCTCTGTGCTTTAGTTGTGATAAGTTGCTTTGTTACTACATCTTTTCGTACGTAATTTTTGTTCAAACGAAATGGAAGGGAGCGAGAGGCCCCCCCCCCCCCCCCCAATACCCCCTGCCCAGCCTAAAGTGTCCCGGTTTGGTAACAGACATATCTGGCAGCCCTACCTCTACTGGTTTGTTCTGTCTCAAGCTGCGTGCACCGTCTTCTACGTTTGTGCAATCGTCGCTGCTCTCGCTATCGCTGTCGTCGTGATCGTTGTCTTTTGCGTTTGCGGAAAGCAAACGTCCCTTTTGCAAATTTTCCACGATATGAACTTTTAAGTTATTGCTCAAATTTGCATCGATGTACTGCATTATACTTTTATACGAGCCATAGTTTGCCTCGAAATCAAAGCCGGCAAATTCGCGTAAACGTTTGCGATTATTCCTATCGCCTTCTGACACAAACACTAATTTGTGTAATGCCGCCACACTCTGCTTGCTGCTGCGTCGCAAGCTTCCGCGAACATTCTCGATTGAAGCCAAAGACATTTCAATCTAAATTTAACACTTTTCCACAATATACGCGTTACACTTCGTCCTTTTCTTGGACGAGGCCCCAAAATGTAGGTTTATTGTTTGTTTAATTAGTTTTAAGTTCACAGAAACGGACAGGTTTCGTTTTATTTACGATTAAAATAGTTTTGAGTTCACAGAAATGAATTTAAATAATTAGATTGGAATTGAATATTTAGACAAATAATGAATTAAATGAATTGGGCATTTAGGGAAAGAATTAATGCAAACTATTTGATTCCACAAAACACAACCGTCTTGGCTACCGGCTCGTACTCGAGTCGCTGCTAGACTGCCATGATGCTGCGACGCCATGGTTTCGTTAAAAAAGAAATAGAGTTGCCAGGCTTTAACCCCACAGTAATATACAAGACATTGGTGATGACTCAATCCATCCGGCAAAATCTCAAACTACATTTACATCCAAATTATTAAGAAACTTAAGAGAAAAATTAGTGGAAATAACTTACTGTCGGAGGGTGTCATAAATAACACAAACGGCAATAACGCAAAATTTGCTTTATTTCACTTTTAAATGGGAAATAATACCAAAATCTGAGTTTTGCTTTATTTCCAACAAAGGTTGGAAATAAAACAAATTTTGCCTTATTTCCCATTGCTTAATTATACTATTTGTAAAAAAAAAACAGTTTACTAACAGAAGGAAAAAGAACTTTGTTTATTCCAAAAATACAATTAAACTAAGGCACATTGAACAGGTAATATCAGTATAGCAGCTGATTTGGTTTTTTTCAATTATTTGTTCTCGAAAATGTCAAATATTTTACATTTCTTCTCACAAAAATTCTAAATTGTTAAAATCTCTTTGCATGTGAAACATTTTCCATACAAAACCAGCGATTAAATAGCAGCTTTTGGAAAGCTCGCCCAACTCAGCAGCACAACCGCTGATTACTGGGCCTGGCACAGGATGGTGGATCAATGCTTCGAGAAGCGAACCAATTTACTAAGAAAGAAAGTTGCAACAATTTTCATTTTTTCAATTTAAATTTTTTACCTTTTTCGTATTTCGCATGGCACGCTTTGATGTAGAAGAAAAAATCAGAACAGTTTTTAGCACCTTTGATACCAGAAGCAACAACAAAATACAGGCAAATGTTGTTTTTGCTCAAATGCTCTAAACCTGTTTGATAGGCCTTGAATTAAACAAAAAATGTGATATAATTCATATGAAGAAAGTAATATTCACAAAATATTTTTACTTATGAAAAGTCTAACAAAATATAGGAAAAGCATCGTCTTTAAAAACTGTTCCGCATATTGGACATAGTGCTTTCGTATGCATTTTTTCTGCATGCTTTTTAATATGTTCAAAACAATGCTGGAAAACCTTAAAATGTTTGCGTGGAACTATGTCGCAATAAACAGATGAAGTAATAAAACGGCTTTCTCGCTTTATTTTCTGACATTCGGCTGCCTTATAGTCACATTTTATAGGCAAATTTTCAAATAAAGCAGTGGCACCTGGTAAATTCCACTATGGGTGGGATGCAGCATGCAATAACACCATACACAATAATTCCCATTACTTGGACATTAAAAAGCAGTTTCAGAAGTGAACTAGTGTTATTTTATCATTTTTCCTTTTTCTAAACGGTTATAATGCCACCAGTACATAATTGCGAAAGGAGAGGAGGGGCGGGGGACGCGAGCGCGACGTCGAACGCGACGCCGGGCACTTTCAAAATTGTATACTTACAAATCCGTCCATTTAACTTGTTCATGTACTACTTTTTGTCAAATGTAACTGGGTGACTACCTACATATGTGCACAATTTTGTTTTATTACTCAAATTGTTAAGTATAAAAGTTGGTCTTATTGCTCAACGAGAAATGAAATAAAGCAAATTTGTGTTATTTCACATTCAATTGGGAAATAACACAAATTTGCGTTATTGTTGCAGGTTGAGAGTCTTCCTGCCTCAGTATATCCAGTAAAAAAACTGTGGTGAAGTCCTTTATGGGGATAAAGTTTCCAGAGGTGAAATTTTAGGTAGCACACAATTTCTTACACGCATGGTTGCTTTTCAGCACTGATGAAAGAAACTTAAGAAATATTTGAAAAAAAAGTTCATATAGTACATTAATTTTGAAAGAAATACATATAATGTATGTACTCTGGTTAATAATATCAAAAAATGTATTAGAATCACCGTTTAATGTTATATTTGATACAAATTAATACTGCTGCCCCGAACGCTCTGCGCCTTGCCACTGAATAATAGATTTACTTAAAATTACATCCCTGATCCTTGTTCTTTCTGTATCGCATCGTGGTGATTTCACATTGCTCAGAAATTTGACAAGAAAACAAAACAAAGCGAGTATTTTATTTGCTAATTTTTGCGATTTCTATTGTTTAATGTAAATTTGTCTTTTTAGGATATGTCGAGCCAACAAAGAAGGCGCAGTTGGAAAATTTAGTAATTAGTAATGAAGTAGCAGGCATATTTGGAAAATTATGCCGATAAACAGGATGGAATTTGGGAAAGTAAGTGCATGGTTGCAGCATATCTATGTATAAAAAGTATTTAATTAAATTGTTTATAGAAATGTTATAAATCGAGTGGCTCATTTACGATGTGCTCCAAACATTTGGCGAACTTTTTTTCGCCTTTTCAACGTGCTAAGTAACAAGTTAAGATGACTGCC